ATCAGAAAGTTAATAATGCAGACTGAAAAATATTTCTTATATGACAAGGTCTTCTCAGTTATGCATAAGACAAAGTTCTGAGTATGGATTCAGAATCTACATATTTCTTTTACTCTGTCTGAAATGCACTTCAGTAACAAAAGCTTTCTTGCCCTGTGGAATCAATAATATTTACATGAATCTCTGTCCTTGCAAATTATCCATCAAAATATGTCTTTAAAAACTTATCTGCATATATAGCCAAAAGCATTAACACTTTCCAGACTGAATGCATCTTTAACATTTACCCATTTTAAGGTAGCTCAAGTTTAACCCAGTAATGGCCACCATAAAATCCAGTATTCTAATATTCAAATCCACTTTCTAAAAAAAGAAAAAAAAATCTTAATTATAGGTATATAAATAAATTCTGTATTAATTATACATGCAGCAGAAATACCTTCCATATTAACTACAGTTCAAAAGTTTGAAGCCACACCCAGAATTAGCATGGGATGAACTTGACAAAAGAGTGAAAAAAAATGAAAAAGCTCTTATAGTCATTGAAAAAAGAATGGAATCAGTTATCAAACTTACACTTTGAGAAACTTTTGTGACAAATACTAAAAAATTGTGCTGCATTAATCAAGGCTAAAGGAGGATATTTTGACGAGAGCAAAATTTAATAATAAAAATGCTTTGTTTTTCTTTTTGTCATAATAAAATTTCTAATAAAAAATCATGTCTCACTTTTTTTTTTTAACCATGTATAATAATTTTCTCTTATTTAAAGTACAAAACATCTGCTTTCTGGGACAATTTAAAAAATTATCAGGGAGTAGCCTCAAACTTTTTAACAGTAGTGTATACCTCCCAGAAATGCCTCACACACAATGGTAAGGCATTAACTAGATCAAAACACCATTGCGACTTATGTCTTACCATTACGTGGTAGGTATTTCTGTTACATCCTGTATAGCAGAAGTTATTTACATTAAAATAAAAGCATCATCCATAAGCAAGATTACAATGACACTCACAAAATGAAGGATTTATGATCTTAAATTCAAGTCAGTCACACAACATCATTAAATAACACTTTATTAAATTAATGACAGACTGCAATTTCAAATATTAACCAGTTAGTTCATAAAATAAAAATATGTAATTTACATATTTCTAAAACTCCTTTCTGATAATAGGCAATAGAACGTTTGAAAGTACTAAGAATTCTACTATAGACTGTTCATTCATGGATTTCAATTGAATGAAAGCATTTAGCTTAAAACTAAGTAGAAAAGTTTAAGTACTTCTTGAATTTCTCTTATAGTTTTTTTCTTTAGCTACATTTCTATGTTCTTCTATCCACATTACTTATTTAGTTTTTGTTTTTTTAATAATTTCACCCAAAGCAAGGAATAATGCCACTAAGATGCAAGGTGGTTAACAAATGTGAAAGAATATGAGAAAAATGTAAAATATTATTGATGAGAGAGAAAAATAAAGAGACAGAAATTGAGATAGAAGATAACAATTGACATTGAATCTAAATCTTTGAAGTTCAAAGTAGACTGGGAATTAAGAAACCAGAAAAGAGTTCCACAAGCAAGAAGTACAAGGGAAGCAACCATTAGCATATAATTTACAATTACATCTAGCCATTTCAATTGCTAAACGATGAGACCTAGCTGCTAATCTAGAACTGCACATAAATTTTATAAAGCCAAGCTGAAAATAAATTTTACTTAATTCTACAGGATAATGAGAAATAATGTCATATTTAAAAATCAATTAATTGATTACAAAATTATTTTGTGTATGTTCTAGAAAGATAAAGAAAGTATCTAAAACTACCTAAGTACTTCAAAAAAAAGGTCCCAATGAGTGATACCAATTTGATAAAGAAGATCGTTGAGCCTTGGCTTCTTATAGCTTAATGGTAAAAATTATGCCTAGTCTGAAGATAGTTTTTCCCAGGTTATAAAAGGAATTCAATTGTCATTTCCTTTAAAAAATTAAAAAAAAAAAAAAAATAATTATAACAATTATAATGATCATTAATTCATTCATTCTAAACCAATGAGAATCAATGCCGTTTTTCTCCTCCACACACAGAGACACATGACATTCTCACTATCAGACAAGCAGTTCACACAGACAGGTCATTAAAATGTGCATCAATGAAAATTTCACCTCCTTTTCCTTGCTTCAGGCTATAATATTAACATTTATCTTTTAGCACCCAACAAAATTCAAGGTTAGAAATTCCCAAACACTTTTTGTATTTTTTCAATACAATTATCTGGACACTCATTACATACATCTATAAAAAACATACAATAAAGACTGTAAACACATTGCTTATTCTTCTGTCAGATTCTGATCCATATTTGATCTAAATTTGACCCCAAACTCACAATTTTATTCATCATTATTGTCTCTTATATCTCCAACACCATATAAAAACCAAACAAGGAATAATGCACATTTTGTTGTCTCTCATATTTACAAGTATTTTTGTATATATAAATGTTATGGGGTTTATAATTGTTTACTCAGTGTTATAACTCCCTACACAGGTTTGCCTCCTGTCAGGTGGCACATTTTCTTTAATAAGACTTTCGTTCTCTATGCCAGTAGGCATTATGTTCATTGTCTAAATGACAAACAAAAAGAACATGTACCCACTAAATATAATGCTTATTTCAAGAAAATAATTAATTCTTGATGCGAATCAACCAATGCTTGCACAATTTTCTGTGTCCACGTTGAAACCTATCTAACTTCCAATAGCAGTTACCTTTTCAATTATTTTGTCTGTGGGACTGAAGCCAAGAAAATCATTTGCACAATGGCACAAAAGATATTTCCAAACTGCTCGCATATTGCTGGAAGTAACCACTTGCTATGAAAGTTTAATGTTTTTCTATGGCCTACTTTATGTATTATTTCTTTCAAAATTCTGCACACGAAATTCCATTTTTTCCTGATCTTGCTTGAAGTGATTGTACAAAATCCCTTTGTAGATAATGTGTTTTCAAAGATGCAAGAGTTCCTTGCTATAGAAATATCTCATGGTAACTGAATAATTGCATGTACAGAACAAGAAATGGTTACAACTTTGCAAATCATCCTATAGGAATTTCATGGTGACTGAATAAGTGAATAGTTGAAATTGCCACTAATGCTTTAATACTGTTAGCTATCAATTTCTTAGCTGTCAAGATTTATCAAGTTTTTTTTGTTTTTTTTATCCATGAAAATAGAAATGAGTTAGCAAAATTTTTAATGAAATTTAATTTTTTTGTATTAGAAATCTACTTCCCTGAAGTTTGTATTATGAAGAATGCTTCCCTGAATTTTGTATTACAAAGTATGCTTCCCTGAATTTTGTATTACAAAGTTTGTATTATGAAGAATGCTTCCCTGAATTTTGTATTATAAAGAGTGCTTCCCTGAAGTTTGCAATACAAATGTGTTCCTCTGAAGTATATATCACTAATATACTTCTTGGGAGTTTGTATCATATATGTACTTTTCTCAAGTATTTATCATGTTTTTTCTCTAAAGTTTGTATTATAAATGTGGCTATCTGAAATGTGTAATACAAAGTGCTTTTTGGAAGCTTGCTTTACAAAGAGTTTAAATAATTCTGTCTGATTCTATCCTAAAAATTAATTTAAATATAAAAATGTCAAAGCAAGAATATCTGTCATTAAGATGATAAAACACTTTCAAGAATAAATTTCAGATTTCCTATGTATAAAAAATTATAGGTATTTGTATATAAATAAAAAGTCACTTACAGATTTGTTCCATGCAAGATTTTTCTGCTGTAGTTATTTCAGGCTGTGTGGATTGTTGTTCTACTTTCATTCCATCGAAATGGTCAATGGCAACAGTTCTGCTATCCTGGGAATGAAACGAAATAAGGTAAATCTACAGTGAATACATGTCAAAAAGATGTCTGCAAAAAATAACTGGAATTATTATAATTCCAGAAGAGAAAGAATTTCATATTAATATTCATAACAACTAATGAGGAGATTCAGACATCATTTCAGTATTAATAAATTTCTATTCCAGAAGCTTTAAGATTGTTTTTCTTTCCTTCTTTTTCATTTTATTCTTTCATGCAATAAGTAAATTCTTTTCCCTTATCCTTTTCTTCTATATTATCATTCCTCTATCTCTATCTGGTTCTATTTTTCTCTTTATTCTTTTTATAATGTACTAACAGTAGAACCCGGCATTGCCCGGGGATGTAACAGTAAGAGATAGATCAAGTATCGAACATCATAAAGACTGAAAAATAAAATTGACAAAGGTTATTGTTTAAGGTTGACGGACACACATGTCTTAATTATTTTTTTTGTTTTGTTTTATTTTGTTTTGTTTTTTTGTTTTTTTTACGAATTGGTCAAACCCAAACTCAAACAAAAACATTGTTTTCAATCATTATGAGTCTTTCTTTCTTTCTTTCTTTCTTTCTTTCTTTCTTATTTCTTTCTTCATTGCAATATTTGACGTTCTTTCTTTCTTTCTTCTAATATTACAAAGTTGAATAGAATTTTATTATAAACAATTGTCTTGTAAATGGAATTTTTAAAGCATTCTGAATGTAAAAATAAAGAAAAAAGTGTGCAAAACAATAAGAAACACTACCTGCCAAAAAAAAAGTGAAGTTTTTTTTTAAATCGGTTGAAAAATGTACGAAATCCAATCCCATATATAAACGAACACACACACACACACAAACAACCTGGGTTTTATAATAAGTATAACTCGATATGAGTTGTCCCCCTTTCATTCTCGCGATGCCTCTTAATCGTGTTATCAAATTGATTTCGTGCAAAAACAATTATTTTTCTAATTTTTGGTACTGTCAGAACCACTGCATGGTAATTTTACGTAGTCCTGTGAAGTTTTGTTGAAATCAGTTGAAAAATGTAGGAAATCCAATCCAATATATAAACGTACAGACACACACACACACACACAACCTGAGTTTTATAATAAGTATGATCTATCTTTTTTGCCATCTTTTTTCTTTCCTTCATATCTTTTTTTTGCTTTTATTTCTTTTTTATCAAAGTTCCAGCTTGATATTTTTTTTTAGTAACTTTTTTTTTATCTCCATTCTTCCTCTAATAGCCTTACTTTCTCTTTTTTATCCTCTTTTTTCTACTTTTACTCGCCTCCAACATTTCATCTTTTTTTTTTTTAACCAACAGATTTTGTGTTTCCTTTCTCTTTTCACCGACACATTTTGCCTTTCCATTTGCTATTCTCCAACACATTTCGCCTTTCCATTCGCCAACAGATTTTGTGTTTCGTTTTTCTTTTCACCAACACATTTTGCCTTTCTGTTTGCTGTTCTCCGACACATTTCACCTTTCCGCTCGCAGATACATTTCATCTTTCCACTTGCCGACACATTTTGCCTTTCTGTTTGCTGTTCTCCGACACATTTTGCCTTTCCGCTTGCAGATACATTTCATCTTTCCACTTGCCGACACATTTTGCCTTTCCGCTCACCGACACATTTCGCCTTTCCATCCGCCAACAGATTTTGTGTTTCCTTTTCACTAACACATTTTGCCTTTCTGTTTGCTGTTCTCCGACACATTTCGCCTTTCCGCTCGCAGATACATTTCGTCTTTCCACTCGCCGACACATTTTGCCTTTCCATTCGCCAACAGATTTTGTGTTTCCTTTTTCTTTTCACCAACACATTTTGCCTTTCTGTTTGCTGTTCTCCGACACATTTTGCCTTTCCACTTGCAGATACATTTCATCTTTCCACTCGCCGACACATTTCGCCTTTCCATCCGCCATCACATTTCACATTTCCACTGTCATTTACCAACACATTTCATATTTCCTTTCTTCATTTACCAACATATTCCTTTTACCTGTTTCTCTTACTTTCTTCTACCATTTGATTTAATTCTCTCATTATTTTAAAAGCTCTTTCCATCCATCTCTTCTTTATTATAATCCTTTTATCTTTTGCTCTTCCTGTCTCTGCTTCATTATCTTCCCAAATGTTTATCCCAGCAAATAAATACAATTTCACATTTTTCCCACCTCATTATTATTACTAATAATAAAACTTTTCTCTTCTTTTTCTAGTTTTATTCTAGAATGTATAATCAACTGGGCACACTAAAATTTAGTCAGGCAACCAATTTTCAAATACATTTTGGCAAATAATGGTGGCTGGGGTTCATTCTGTCAACTCAACCCCAATATAGTTCAGCTTATAAACTTTACATTTATTGTGCTCAGATATAAAATCACATTCTGAATCAACCAAATATACTTCCCTTCTTTCAGTTTTTCCATCAGATTTCAATTTCCGGAGTAAACAAGAAGACATCAGAATGCGATTTTTCGGAAGGAAAAAAAAAATAATATGACAATAAAAAGAAAGGTGGAAACATATGGGACATTTTGAGGGTTTAAAAGAAAAAGAAAGAAAATTAAAAAAAAGGGCTTTCTTTTTGGACCACCATTCTCAATGTAGAAGCCAACTCAGATGATTATATGAAAAAAACAGTGAATGGCCAAAATGCTTCCTTAAAGAAAAGGATTGAAAAAAAATAAAAGGTTTCAATAGGAATAGTTTAATGAAAAGTATCTCTTTGTATAGCCTTTCTGAAACAAGACTGACATAAAAGAATTCTTTTGAAATGTTTTTGGTGCAAGTGCTTGGAAATACATGAAAACATCTTTCTTTTTTTTTCTTTTTGTTTTTACTTTTGCTGTTGTCATTTGCATACTTCAAAAAGCAATAGATTTTTTTTTTCTACTTCCTTAACAGTTTTTACTCTGAATTGTGCTTTGGTTATTTTCATCCAGGTTTCACTCAGCCTGGAACTGTTTTGAATGTTATCTTAAATAAACAAGCCAAGTCTAGCAGCCATTGTGTCAATGCCAATAAACACCTTCCATTGTCAACTGGCTCATTGAAAACAGACCAAATGCTTGGTGTGACAGAACACAGCATAAAAGTGCGTCTTTGCGGCTGTAATATTCTTATCAAAGAATAAATATAATGATCTAAACAGACTAAGTAAAGAACATTCACCATTTAGACACACACAAACAATAAAAAAAAAATCAATTCCATAGGAAGCAACCAGAACAGAGACTAAGCAATAACAATTTACACAAGGCATCTTTAGCACTTAGAATCTTTGATTCTGTAGGGAATCCCAATAAAAGTAGAATAAAAAGAAATTAAAATTAAAATTAAAATAAAGCATTTGCGTTTTCCTTTAAAACTTATCTTTTTCTTTCTTTCTAAATTTCTCTTTCTATACTTCTCTCAACCTATGGTAAGGTTACCCTCAAATAAAAAAAAAGGAAAAAGAAGCAAAAACTGAACCTGCCAAAAAATACTGGAAGTTTGCCCGAGCAGAACTTAGTTATTTGTGACTGAGAAATAGCAAAATTCAGGGAGACTCTATGCATAGCTACTGTTATCAAAAAGATGAAAAAGAAAGGAACACTAGAAAATAAAATAATTTAACCAATCAAAGAATTTAACACAAAGAGACATTTTAATATTAACCAAAACCAAAGTTCTCACCACAAACACTGAGCCTATTCAAAAGGATATAAGCCAACAGCTCCGGTTATTAGCAGAAGGACAACGGGAGAGGAAAGGACAAAAGAACGCAGCAATGTGACACTTGAAGCAGCAGTTAAGAGGTCATCGGATAATGACATTTCTGCCCTCTTCAGGTCTGAAAAAAAACCCAAAAAACAGTAAGTTGACAGTGACCTAATTTTGCACATTACTACTATCCCTATCTTGGTTTTACTTCAAAACAGCCACTAACGGACATTTCTTCAGACTGCTACCAATATCCTTTTGCTACATTGAATGCCAAAGGACTCATTACTCTAAAAGAAAATAAATAAAAATATATTATTTATTTTAAATCCTAGAGTCAGTTCGTTTTATTCCCAAAGTTTCCAATAAAATAATTATCCTACCAATGCCACCAATCCACACTGGCAACCTTCTGATGAAGTGCACACATTTGCCATAAATCATTCCAAATGAACAAGGATTTTAGCTTAACACTTGATACAGCTTTGTATCTTTTTGATGTCCTTCTCTGAAGTTCTCCACAAGAGACTCAGATCCCTACCTTAGTTATCTTTTTCCATGTTTAAAGTTGATTCAGGTCTTGGACAATCATGGCTCTCCCCAACTTACAACCACTTGTAGAATTTAGCAATGTTTATCTTTTTACTATCCATCACAATCCCTGTTCTGCCATCCATTTACACAAGCTCATTAGCTCTGTCCCTCTCTTGCATTCAATACATCCTGTGAGTGTCAAATTTCCCAAATCTCCTTTCCTCATTATCTGATAAATTTCATAGAATTATCAATATCACATGACAGTTCAACACCGTTTCAAAATTAAATTTTCCTCTCTCTTAATACTTTGCTTAGCTTTTGGAAGGCAGCTTTTGTACTTACAATGTTTCTTCAGATTTCAATGTCACACTTTCTGTCCTAAAACATTTACCAGATATTTAATTTTTGTACTTGCTTGATTTCAACATTTGTAGCTCACATCCTGGGATGTTCCACTTGCTAACAACCATACATTATGCCGTTTTACAATTATTCAAAAATACAAAATGTTTTTATCTTCCTGGACATTAAAGACTTCTTGCAAGTTAAGCAACTGTGGTTATTTTATGTGAATTTTTCTTAATCATTTCTGCCCCCCCTCCAACCAAGCATGGCAATGAAGCCACTAAGACATATGGGGTTACTGAGTATGAGACAGTATGATAAAAAAGAAACATCATTAAGGAGAGAGAACAATAAAAAAACAGGAAATAAGAAAACAGAAGATAAAGATTGACATTGCATTTAAATTCTTTTTCCTTTCTGCCCATAACGAGAGAAATATAATTGGAGGAATAAATATTTCTTCCTAGCACACTCATTACATTCCTGTCAATGCTAGAAAGAGAAATAACAGCTAGTGAACTTGAGAAACCTATTTTAATGAAAAATGATTTTAAGAAAAAATATTAATAAATTTCAACTGAGAGTAGTACTGGCTGCTTGGTCAATAAATCTTGATTATTTACTTATAAGAAAACAGATAATATTACCATAAATTTAGCTAATGTGTTCTTTCTTGGATGTATGGTTCAGATGGTAGTGAAGAGATTATATAGACGAACCTGATCTGATGGCAAACTCAGAAATGAAACTGAAAGAACATAGGACAAATTAGTAAAGGAAAGCAAGAAAAAAGGTCTGACTATTAACTTTAAGATGGAATTCAATATCATCAACAAAAGAGGCTGCTAAAGGTGTGAGTCACGTGGAAAATATTATTATAAAATTATTAATCAATCAAATTATTTTTATTGTATCATTTTCTACAGCTTGTCAACACTTTGCAGGTATAAAGACAGAATGTATTCTTGTATTGTAAGAATTTTGGGGAAAAGATAATTGTTTAGTGATATAAGTCTCACTAATTAACCCATAGCTGGGGTAGAAGGGGTGCATTTATACATTTCCAAAGGATATTTGCATGTAAGTGAATATAACAAAACCTATGTAAATTGGAACTCAGCTCTCCGATTAAAAATTCAAAGCCATTATACATTACACTTCCTGGACATCTAAGCTTACAGCACTTGGTATTCCCAAGTAGTCATCTATCTAGATACTGACCAGGTTCAATGTTGCTTAACTTTAGTGATCATACAGGAAATAGTGTTTCAAGGTAATGTGGCCATAAGCCCCCAATCAATATTAAAAAATTTTCAAGTACATTTTTTTTTTTTACAATGATGATCATCCTGTACAAGGCCCAAGAGCCACTCGAAGTAAAAGGTTACATAGTAAGAGGTACCACCACAAGCAAGGTGATAAAGGCACCACCACAAGCAAGGTGATAATGCCACCAAGATGCTAGGGTCACCAGAAGTGAAAGAGAAGGAAAAGACTTTACAAAAAACTGAAAATCCATTGCTAAACAGGAAACAATGGATAAACCTCTACTCCTGTCCAAAAGACCAGGGCAAAGTGTTAACCAGATGATAGGCAAACCTATCTAGTTCTATTGAGGAAAAAATGTAAATAAATAAATAATAAATAAAAGTTCAGAGTTTTTGGCAGAGATGTTAGAAGTATAGAGTTGAAGTAGACTTTAGAAGGAATCAGAAACACAATCCTAAACAGGAAGTTACAGATAAACCTCGACTCCTGCAATGTTCATGGCTCTCTAAAACTTCCTACCTCTTCTGACTCTTGGAAGTTTTTCTCCTTTTGCTAAGGTTCTCACCGTTGTTCTGCCATCCATTCATATGAGCTCATCAAGTAAGTGGCTGAGTACCTCCCCTATCTCTCTTGTTCTCAATATGCCCTATGAAGATTAACCAATTTTTTAAACAACACTTTATCCATTACATATTCACATCTAAGCTTACAACACCTGGTATTCCCAGGCAGTCACACATGTAGCTACTGACCAGCTTCAATGTTACTTAACTTTCGTGATCAGGTGAGAACCGTTATTTCAATGTGATATGGCTGTAAGACCATGAATTCTCTGAGAATTTCTGACAACAAACCAGATGAGATAACTTTTAAATTTTATTTTTTTATGAACAGTTTCTTCAAGCAATCTGACCTTCAGTAGTTCCATTGATTTATGTAATTACCCTCAAAACAATAATGGGTTAAATTCACAATCACAAGTCCTATACCTATTTGGATCAAAGGGGCAGCACATGATACTTGCAGCCACAATAGAAGTGGTGTTTTGTGGGCAAGATAGCTTGAGCACAACTCTCTCCAGGCTGGTTTGAATTCAGTTTTTCTTTTATTAGACAAGTCACCAACCAAGACTATAGTACCCAGTCTGTGATGCTATTTACTCATAACTGG